CAAAAAATATATGCGAGCAAAAAAACAGACCTGAGTTGGGGCCGCCAGAGATACAGATACCGAAGTACCACAATATATGCATGTCCCCTTTGCCCCCATGCCGCCCCCGCACCCCGATCCACCCCCTCCGCCGATGTCGTCGCCGTCGGTCGCAGAGTTCTAAAAATATTTCGCCGCCAACTCAGGTCGCATCGTCGGTCGTCGCCGAGATCCCGTCATGGCCCGGTCGCCTCTGTTCGCCTTTTTGGTCTCGTTTTGGGTTAAGTGTGCGGATCTCGCATCTGTAGCCTGGCTATATATACGAACGCGTCCATACCTATATATTTATGTATATATTTCTTAATATACCCTGGCACAGGGTAATACCATTTGGCCCACAAGTTTGCAGGACGGGGACAGAAGCATCTGACACTCTATAATTAATGTAGTCGAATTTCTATAGCTTGAATGTTCCATCTCAAAATCTTTGTAAACTAAACTGTTCTTCCTGGGAAAATGGAGAAGAAAACCACTGCTTCGGTTTTTGTTAATAATTCCCATTACATTTGTAACGCCTAGATATTGTATGTGGCAATCCTCAAAAAGTACTTTCGACCTTTCACCTTGACCAATTTTAGTGAGCATAAAATAAACTAACCAATCCAAAATATTCTGCTATCTCAACCTTAAAAATTGAAAAAGGAAATTGAAATACATTATGATATAAGATATTTCATTTCAAATAAAAAGATCTAAACAGTACGGTGTTAAGTTCACATGTTTGTTTTCCAGACCCTCTAATGAGTTAAATAAAATTACCAACAATCTTTTTCTTAAATCTAAAGCCTATCGCAAATAACGATTTATTTTTCAAGGGAATTCAATGTTTTGAATTTAAATCGTCTACGCGATATAATACCTTTCGTTTTGACGTCCGCGACTCTTGAGGTTGTTCAGGTCGTCCAGTTTTAAGGGAAATCTATTTCGATTTACATTGAAATTTGTCTTTCGATAACAAAAGTTTCCAAACCGGAGGAACAAAGGAAACAGCGATTTTTCATTAGAATAATGTGATATGGGCAATTAATATGCATATGTTTCCTATTCGACCGTTTGTTGGTTTTGTTGCGAAGTTCAATCGAACAACAACTGGGCAAATAGGAAAGTGCAATGCAACACCGCCAGACAACAACAACAGCAGCAAACAACTGCAATATGTCTGCTCCATTATCGCCCTGTCTCGCTTCCACGCACTGCCACCCACTCCCCTGTACCCACCCCATTTGTTTTTTTTTTTTTTTTTTTGTGTTGATTGACGAGTGACGAGGCCAAAGTATCAAATGGCCAGCGACGACACAGATATGCCTCCGTATACAAATACAGTTATAAAACACGCCTACACTTTGTTATCCATCAGAAACCCCCTCCTCTCACACCTACCCTCCCCCTTTCCGACCCTTTTTGAGGTCTTTTGAAGTTGTAAAGTCGCTGATGTTGTTCTTTCTATGACTTTATCGTCGCTGCGTTTCCGTGGCTCTCTCGCTCTGTCGTCGTGCCAGCGCATTCCCACTGCCACTTGAACTCTGACCAGCTGACCTTCAGTGAACCCTTTTCGATCTGTGTGTGTGTCTCGGGCGGTGGGCGATCGGACAAGGAGAGGAAAATTAAAAAGAGAGCCACCGTAGAGCATTACATACAGTGGACACTATAATGTTTATTTATGTAGTTCTCAATGATAAGATCATCATAGAGTTTTCCGCTTCATTAATAGAACTTGTTTGGCTTAAAACACTACCAAGTAATGACTTATATATCAAAAATATGTATAAGCCATTAAATTTTAAGAACATACATTATAGCCATCAAATTATTATGTATTTGATTAAATTAAAGCAAAAAATACTATGTTATATTTATATAATAATGGCTTTCTGATTTGTTAACAAAAGATACAAAAGGTCGGTTTTTAGCCATAACCAACATTTTATTAAATATCAGAGTCTTGAATTTTACATAACAAAGTACTATTACTATTCATATTTGGATGAAATATTAGGAATTTTCCATAAAAACTCGAATCCAATGATCAAACACCTGTCGCATGCGCACAGCACTCACTGTACTGATAAAGCTCCGCCATTCTTCTCTTAGGCCCCGCTCTCTTCGTTTCGTTTGTTTTGCTACACAGCTGTTTTTCCGGCTCTTCGATACTCGCTCGTTCGCCCGCTCTCTCTTTGACCTGCACGTGTGCCCGCTTGGGGATTGGAGTATCTGTTGCTTTGTTGTTGTCTCTCGGTTTCTTTTATACTCTTTCTGACAGTAATGTCAGTTTGGACATAGATATCTAACGCAGTGTACGCAATATGCGGCTTTTCGTGCTTTATCCGTCAGCTGTTCTTATTAACATATATATTTTAAATCCCATTATTTGGGTTTTAAAAACATATATATGCCATGATTTACATGAATTTCTTAATGTGTGAAATCAAAATATCAGCTGTTTAAGCAATACAGATAATTTCATTAAATAATTGATTAACAATAATTTCTGTTGTCTTTGAGTGTAAGCATAAGCGTGTGTAGGTAAATACATACAAGATAGATAGAATTCAATAATAGTATAAGATATATTGGTAATCATTAAATTGATCCTAAAGTTTATCACTCATACGTACTATTGGCCCATATTAAATAATTTATTTTCAAGTTAATTAATTTGATCACCCCAGTGTTTATACAATGAAATTTAACTTTTATTAGAGCTGTGAGGGTATTAGAACTTCGGCGTGACGAAACTGGTTCTCTTTCTCGTTTTGTTTTTTTTATTTGTTGGGGGGCGCTCTCGTGCTATCTCGAAATTGTGTTCAGTACGATTTCGTTCGTGCGGCGGGTAACTCGTGCGAATGCGAATACAAATAACAAAAGCCCCGGCATTATCAGTGATCGACAATTCTGCGATCGACGATCAACGATCCCGAGCCCAAACCAAAGCGCGCGTAAATAGAGAAAAATACAAATCAAGAGGATTGATAAAAAAAGCATACAGAAAACGGTGACGGAAAAAGTGTGAGAGTGGGGGCGTTGTGTAAAAATGAAAGATTAAAAAAGTTAAGAAAAAGTGCTTACGGCGGGGCAAATCACATAACCGTAACGGTAACAGTTTTGCCAGGAAAAAAGGCAGGAAAAATTCACAAAAAACGGCGCACTAATCCCAGCTAAAAATAATCCGGAGAGAGATAAAAATCACTCTGACATTTTTTTGTGGCCATTCGCTTTTTTACAACAAACTCACGTGTCTAACGACACTTTGACAACACAGATACAAATCTGTTTGGGAAGCTGAGCACGTGACCACCAATTAATGAATGAGACAGCACCAGAAGAGAGGGGGAGATAGGAGGAGCTAGCGAGCGAGATAAGAGATAACGCCGCGAAGAAAAAATTTCCGAATCTTATGCAAATCGAGCGACAAAAAGTGAAACGCAAATAATCAAGTTTAAAAGTCAAAAGTCACAAGCAAAATTAAATAAACAATGCTTTAAAAGTTCAAAGCTATAAAACACAAATGTTAATTGTAGAGAAAATTAAAAGCAGAATAAATAAAATACAAATTTAGCAAACGGAAATAAAGTATAAGCCAAATATATGTTAAAAGAAACAAGTAATATCGGTCACACCTCCAACAATTTAATAATCTTAAGGTATTAATATTCCCGAGAAGTATCCAAGTATCCATTCAACAAATAAATGCAATTTACAAACAATACAATTTAATTGAAGTAAACGTAAAAAAAGGTTTTACACTTTTTCTAAACTTATGACAAATAGCCAACAATACAATTAGTCAGTCTGTCTCTTAGCTTAGTGAGTCTGACAACAAAAACAACGAGAAATCATCGTCAAAACAATCAAAAAGGTAAATCCAAATTTCAATTTAAGTTTGAGAAAAAATCCACTAAACACTCACAAAAATATCATTAAAAGAAATAGAGGCCGAACGAGAAACAAATGCATAATATAAATGCAAAAAGCTGTTTAAATATTTGATAGCCAACCGAACGACCTTAAACTTTTCCTTTGTTTCGTTGAAACAGTAAAGGTTAAAGTTCCGATACAGTTTTAACCAGGTTCCAAACAAGTTAAGTTGTCATTTCGAACAGACGCAAGTCTTTTGATCTTGTTATTTTTAATCTTCTCTTTATTTAAATGATTCCTTAATATATTTAAAACTTATTACATAATCAGTTAACTGATTTTTTTTCTTCTGATCTTATTTGCAAAGCATATTAATAAATTTGTATATTAATAAATTTGTCTTCATAAAATTAATAAAGAAAATTTAAAAGTTTATGAACTGTTAGTCTAATGATAAATCATTAAAACAAAAGATAAATTATAAAAAGTGTAAAGGTGAATTGCAAAAAAAAGTGTAAGTGAAATCTTTTGTGTTAAATATGTAAAAACTTAATAATTATTAGCTTGTTTTTTAAGCTTACGATAAATTAAACAACAAATGTAAATATAATTTTTAAAACTCTTTTATTTAAACCGATTCACCTCTAGCGGCATAATTGACAGCCTATATAAGAAGCTAGACAAATTCATTGTCCCAGCATTTAATATCATTTAATTACCCACATCCCAAAAACAAAAGAAAAGAATGGCAAGCAAAACACCAACAACCATAGTAAAAAAAACACACACGCGGACACATTTGACAACCAGCAAATTAATTAGGCAAACACCCAAAGACAAGCAAGCCCACAAAGATACATAGATAGAAAAACTACATAAAGCCGTAATGATTACCGAAGCTTGGACAATACGAACAGAGATAAATTAGCAGCATAAATGGTCAAAACAACTGAAACGGCTAACAAAACCTGGTAACTTAATTGAAGAAGTGGTCGAGCGTAAAGTGTTAAAATAACTTTATAAGCCCCATGATTTGTCTTTACCGCATGTCTCTCCGCTTTCGTATTTTACCCACTATATATTTCCTGCCTTCACTTCACTTGCAGCAGCCAGCAGAGCGAAAGAGACAGCCGGAGATCGCCAGAGAGAGAGGGCAAATCGAATCGGTTGACGACGGCGGAGGTTTGACAATATGTTGAGCCCCCATAATGAAGGAAATTGATACGGAGACAACAGTAGTATGGCCAGCCTGGTGTTATTCCGGTAAGTCATGCCGCCCCACGGCCCCCTGTTTATATTCATTCGCTTCCCAACTCCAAAATGGAGTGCTCCGTAGCATTATGACAACAATAGTGGTTCGGGGAGGAGGGGAAAGTTGTTGAAAGTTCAGCTATCGCTTTACGCTATTATTTCTGTGCCGCTCTTTTATACCCTGTATATTGTTGGTGCTCAAACCTGACCCACTGATCCCGAGGATCTGTTGAAAATACATTGAGCTACTGAAATAGACCGCAGTTACTTCTTTTTTTCAATCAAAGTTTAAATATAAACTGAATTAAATTTTAAGTTTATGTAATTATCTTACTTTAAAAAACTTTTACTTACTTTTTTCTTTGGTTCCAAATAATCACGTTTATATTTTAATCAACATTTAAAATTCATTCCTATAAAGCGGAATGGTTTGTTTTCTAGCTAACTATGATTAACTTTAAAAAAATAATTTTCCCAAAAAAGTTTTTTTTCCAAAGGTATCCAATTTTGAATTTATATATATGCGATAAGAAATGCTCTTAGTAGTAATTTCAGGCGTTGTAATCGGAGGATATGAGTCACAGGGTATCACAGAAGTTAACTAAGCCCCACGGCTTTCCTGCAGCATTTCTATTAGTTTTTATTTATTTTATTTATTTTGCGCTTTTTTTTTGGGGGTATATTTCTTACTGCTATGCGCCGAAAGGCCAATGGCCATTGTGGCATTGGTTGTTGGTGCTGTCAACGCCTGGTCAGTAGAGTTGTGGCCTACTGTCTCTGCTGCTGCAGTTTATGATCAAACGTTTTATGTTTTCACCTTCCTTGGGCTGTATTTTTATTAAGAGTTTTCCCGCTGCTGCCTTAAATTTGTCTCACCCAGACCTTTGGCTTTGCTTTGGTGATTTGATTGTCGCTTTGTTTTCCATTTTTTATTTATTTTGACATTATTTATGGGCGTGTGACATTTTTCTGCTACTCCGTGATAGATTAATTAGTTTGGTTTTTCGTTCAGATCTTTCGACGTTTCACTTGCTCGGGAGTCGAGTATTTAAGCCATGATGTCATGGCTCCGTATCTTGTCTCACCTTTGACTTTTGCTTTTGCTTTGGTCACTCGCAGTCAGCATGCAAAAACGAGAATTTCTGTTCGACATGCACATTGTGAAACACAAAAAGTTATAATGCCGAACAACAATATACACAGAATCGGTAAAAAGTAAAAGGCAGAACTGAAGTCGCAAAACAAATTATCGAACAGTCACCAAACCAGGGAGAGAATCGGGTATTTTTGTGACGTCAGAAATGGTTTTGCACAAGCTGCGAACGATGTTATTATTGGGGTTTTAAATTATCTAAAATTACTGTTTTAATATTTAATGTTTTTAAATCCAACTATTAAAGAGTTCGCTGTCGCACGATTTTTAAATGGCTTCGTTATCTTTAACATCTGATCTCAACGTTGATTTTATCATAACAATGCTAATTATTAAAAGATTTATTGGTGCATGCCTCTATAATTTTTGAAACTAATTAGCATTATTCCAATTTCATTAAACTGAAAACAACTCAGTTATTCGGGAATAACAAAATTATCGATCTCTATTTGCTTTGCGATAAAAAATTCTCTAACATCAAAAAGGTATTTAAAAGAAGATTGATAAAAAAAAGTGAAATAACTATTACATTTTTAAAGGAAAATCAATTTTATACTTCTGCAAACTGTACCTGAACAGTCTCCACAATCTCCCTCCAAGTTGTCAACCTTTTGACCAAGCAAAAAATCTGGCCAAAACCACTCCCAAATCGACGAGTTCATCGAATATTTCTGAGCGGCAAATTAAGCATTCAGCATGCAAATTTTCATTAAATAAAAGTAAATTCCCCTCCCAAAATAAAAAGGCAGACAAGTGGCGATAAAAAAAAAGAAACGTATCGAGCTGCAGCAGCTTTAAAATAAAAATAATCAGAAATAAAAATAAACAAGCAACTGATGCCGAACAGCGGCGAAGACGACGTCGCCGATGATGATAATGATGAAAAAGATCGCTCGGCGGGCAAAATTAAAATGCAAAACGAGTCAGCACCGAAGTCTGACCGTCGGGAAGTCGCAGAGGAAAGGGCAAGCGTCCATCCAATTCAGAAGCGACCCGTTCGCATCTCCGTTGCGGCCAGGCTAATACTAAAGCCGTGGAAATATACAGTAGTAGTTCGAAAAAGGATCTACAAGAGCCGTTAAAAGTAGGATACCTGCTGAGATAAATAACAATTTTTAAAGCTTGTTATTCAAAATGCCAAATTTAATTTATAATAGGCATTTAACGAACCCAAGATGTATCTTTTAGAGAATATCGTGAAAACAAAATAATTTTTTTAATGCTCTCTTTAAAGCTCTGTTGACCAGTTTTAATTAAAAAATATGTTTTGATTGAAAATATATAATGTTACATAATATAATTAAACAAAAAATTAAACGATGATAATATGAAGTCTCAATTTAAAGTTTTATGAAGTTCCAGCTTTAAAAATTGTGTTAAAATCATAAAGTTAAAATCAAAAGGTATATTATCGTTACGATGGCTTCTATTTTACCATTATCATAAAAAACGAGGGCTTTAACTTCGGGAAATAACAATTTTAAGAATATAGACCTTTACTTTGTAAGGCTTCACTGTACCCACATAATATCAATATGAGCAGGCCGAGCTGCTGGCAAAGGTTATAATGCATCTCCATCTTCGCTGCCGATCCGCCGCCGTTGTTCTTGTTGCCTTTTGCGCTTTTCACTCGTTGGCACTCCGCTCAGCTTGTTGCTGTTGCTATTGCCTTGCTGGGGCCTCTTTTTGTTTTTGCCTGACTTGACTCCGAAACCTTTGACGCGAACTTATGCCCTGCGAGTGGCCATGGAATGTTGACTTGCTGTCTGTCTGAAGCCGAGAATGGCGAAAGAGAATGAGTCGCAGTCAGGCAGAAATCAGAGGGACCTGGAGAAGCTAAAGTCGGGGTAATAAGAAGCCACCTTTTGCATTGATGCGATTTGTAAATACACTTCTTTGAGGCGCAAATATTTAATCACGTAGAATTGATAAGTGATTTACTCGATGTAAGGGATTCCGTTATTGATATGTGCGAAATGGGTTTTTTTAAGCCAGTCTTTAGCTCAACATAACGATATTGAGACAATCGAGAATCAGCCTATGGTCTTCAAAAACTCAGTGTTCAAACACCACCGCGCTTCTAAGAATATTTTTTGACATACAAAAAAACCTGTAAGAAATAATTTTCGATTAAGCTATTTTAACTCATTTATATAGAACTCACCATCAATAAATTATTTTTAAGGTTTATTATTTAAATAAAAATTGAATAATCGGGCACCATTACTTGAAGTAACTGATGTATTTTTAATTAATAAATTACGTGTTTTATGTGGAAAAACAATTGCATTTAGGTTGCAAGGTCACAAGGTCACAAAACACTTTCCGCAAACATTTTTTAAACTATTAAATTTAAATCAACTTGAAATCTCCGCAGATTGTTTTAAACCTATATTGAACGTATATCCTTTTCGAGAGGGCATCTGTTATGTGACTTAAATAATGCTTTTAGGTCCTCTGTATGCTTTATATGCCGATGGCGTGCAGTAAGTCGCCAATGACTTTAAAGGGGCGACTGCGCAACCCTACTGCCCTCCATGCTCCTCCGTCCTCCTCTGGTAAAATCATCCTCGTATTTTTTATGTGTGCTCAACTTTGCACTCGGAGCAAAGTCAAAACGACTTGGGACACGCACACTTGTTGCTCTTTGGCATTGGAATTGCCTTACGTGGCATGCAAGTTGAAGCACATAGCACGTTGCACGTTGCACGTTGCGAGTTGCTGCTGCACTTATTTATTGTTTGTTGTTGCCGTGGTTATGATTTGCGATTTTTTCCCGCATATCGATGGCCACTTGGCCTGGTTGCTCCCCTCTGTCTTTTCCCCTCCCGAAATCCCTCATGCCATCTTAGCACGGTAGCCGCCGCAGGGCGCAATTATGCCACTTGTCGGAATTTCACTCAGACTGAAGAAGAAGAAGAAGAGCAGATAAAGCCGACGTCGCGCCGCCGCAGTAGCTCTCCCTCTTTCCTTATTCAAGTTGAGGTTTCATCATCGAGTATATAGTACAGTGACAACTGAGAATCATTTTCTAAGTTTTTTACACAAAGTTAAAGAGAAATATTTTCATCTTCCATCGAAAGAAAAAAAGGTAATCTTTGAATTAAGACCATAATGTTTTATTTTATAATTGGTTCCATTCTAACTATTAATACCAAATCTTAAGTTTTTGCAAAGTCGTACGGATGTTAACGAGTAGATATTATTTTACTATGTTATTTCTAGATACAGTAGTTTCCATTAACCTTCAAGACGATGGGTAATAAACATTTTTATATTCAGAAAACAATATTAAGAAGCCAAATCAGAATCATAACTTGCCAATTTTAGGAACACTAACATTAAACCAATATTGTGTACAGATCTGTAATATACATGTGTTTAAATGAATTAGATGATTGATTGTTCAATATTATCCTGTGTCTTATAGTTTTCAATTATTCTTCTTGACTGTTATAGCTTTACCGAGACTTTACTGTACCAGGTACTGGATATGTGTGGATTTAATTTCATTTGTTTTGTTTCTGTTTCGGTCGCAGCTTGCGAGCCTAGAATCGCAAATGAGCAAAACGTGTAAATTATACGCGTCGCGGTCACAGCCCAAAGCAAATAACAAAAAAAATATCGAAAAATTCCGCCTGTTTGCGACCCAACGTAAGGTAAGGACCGAAGGTACATACTTACTTACAAACAGCGACACTTATGTATGATTATTGGCTGCCACTCAAGTTGGAGTCGAGTTCAGTCAAAGTCGAGCTCACAGCTTAGTTGTTGTCACCCAATGTGTTCAATGGGTTTGGGCGACACACCCGCACAGCCAGGCGACATTTATACATTAAACAGAGAGTAAGAGGTGGTT